GAAAAAGAATGAACAAAGAAATGGCTGAATTTCTAATTGGTTCGCCGAAATGCCTACATACGTACATACATGCGTACACGCATAGTACGTAACATTCGAATACGTACATTTTTTATTTTTTTTATAATAAAGAAAATACATACCAAGCATGTCAAGAAATACAGGGGAAAATGTATTATTTGATAATGGATGGAAATGTATATACGTACGTATTAGTAAATGCCAAAATTGTAAATTCACAAATTTATATATCGATATCAAGAAAAAGAAAATAACCAAATCATAGCTTAACGTTAACGTTAATCAAAAAGTTATTCAAGTTATAAAATTATACATGTACATGTACTATACATAGCAGTAGTACATGTATGTATCACATATTTCTATTTTTAGTGTTTCAAAGTAACTTTCTAACAGCTAACGCTAATAATTTTGCAAAAAATAAAACACAGAATGAAAAAAAATACACCAGTCAAATATCGATATCTAAAAACCGGCGAGTCAAATGTAGAACCAGAAGAACAGAAAGACGACGAAGAAGTCCGAATACTGGATCAAGTTCGAGAAATATTCATCGAAGGTAACAATCGATTAGAATACGATGATTTCATCGAACTCCAAATTCAAGCGTGGATTTCCGATAAAGATACAACGCCCCAAAATATATTCAGCTTAGCAGAAAAACGACAAGATCAAAGGAAATATTGGACATTGTTGGCATTCTTTAATGTGTGCGGATTTGGAACACCATGCAACAATGACAACGCATTTCAATGGTACAAAAAAGCTGCCGAAATTGGCGATTCATTAGGTCAACAAGAAGTCGGATTTATGTATCAACAAGGCATTGGCACTGACCAGAATCTGAAAGAAGAAATCAAATGGTTCTCGAAAGCCTCGGATGCCGGAATGGCGATTGCTTCGTACCATCTCGCTGGTAAATATTTACGAGGAGAGAGAGTCAAGATGGATAAATCGCGCGCAATAGACCTTTATAAAAAGTCCGCTGAGGCTGGATTCATTCAAGCATACGCGGCTATCGGCGAGATTTTATTAGATCAAGTTCGAGAAATATTCATCGAAGGTAACAATCGATTCGAATACGATGATTTCATCGAACTCCAAATCAAAGCTTGGCTTTCCGATAAAGATACAACGCCCCAAAAGATATTCAGCTTAGCAGAAAAACGACAAGATCAAAGTAAATATTGGACATTGTTGGCATTCTTTAATTTGCGCGGATTTGGAACACCACGCAACAACGACAACGCATTTCAATGGTATAAAAAAGCTGCCGAAATTGGCGATTCATTAGGTCAACAAGAAGTCGGATACTTGTATCAACAAGGCATTGGCACTGACCAAAATCTGAAAGAAGCAATCAAATGGTTCTCGAAAGCTGCGGATGCCGGAATGATGATTGCTTCGCGCCAGCTCGCTGGTAAATATTTACGAGGAGAGAGAGTCAAGATGGATAAATCGCGCGCAATGGACCTTTATGAAAAGTCTGCTAAGGTTGCTACTTTAGTTTCTTCATCTTCACAAAGGACAATTTCAACATTATCTCCACAAAGGAAAGAATGTATCGTATGTACGGAAAGTTTTGATATGACACAATTAATTCGAATTTCGATCGATTGTCAGCATGAGAACAATATCTGTCAAGAATGTGTTGCAGGACATATTGAACATGAGTTGCAAGATAAAGGAAACACTGAAATTAGATGTCTAGATGAAAATTGCAGAAATGTGATGACCGAAGATTATGTCAAAAAATTGGCCAGTGAAACAATCTTCGAACGGTGAGCTTTCTTGCATTTTTCAACGAAAACTTATTTAAAAAGGAGATAAATATTAAGTTGAATAATTATGTAATTTGAAAGATATCAGCAATTGTCACTTGTATCGACACTTTCACAAATAGAAGATTTCTACTGGTGCTTAAATCCAAATTGTCATTCTGGTCAAATTCATTACGAAGGAGGTATGTAATAAAATGATTTAATTTTTCAGTTAAGAGTTTAATAAATCTAAAGCTTAATTAGTGAAGAATTTTAACGTTAGTTATCCTTTAATTGATTTTATTAAAGTTGCAGCACCAATAATGACGTGTCAATCCTGCTCAAAAAAAACATGTGTTATGCATTTGCTTCCAATTCCAGATGGTTCATTAAACTGTCCACAATGCATCAATATATCCGAACAACAAGAGCTAAAGAGACAAGAAGATTTGCAGAAAGAAAGAAATAGGAAAATGGAAGAAAAATCAAAAGCCTATATTGATTCTATGACAAAAAAGTGTCCGAAATGTAATGCTAATATTGAGAAGAATGATGGATGTGATCATATGACGTGTCGCGCACCTAGATGTGGATATGAGTTTTGTTGGCTGTAAGTATTTTATTTACTTTTGAGGATTTGGTATAAAGTCTATTTCTTAATATGGCTTTTTCATTTATTGACAGTTGTTTCGCTGATTATGATGCTATTCGTAAAAATGGAAATGCACATCACATGCAAAATTGCAAATATTATGCTTAAAGTGAAAGTCTAAATTAATGATAAATGTATCCATCACTGAAAAATCTTGCTAATTATATTAAATATTTTGAGATGATGAAAATATAAAATAGGTGTGAATATTATCCAAAATATATAGAGCTCTTATGAGCTGGGACCCAGCCATGTTGTGCATTTAGAGAGGGTGTGCACTTATAGTGGGTGCATTTAGGATTATATAGTCTTTAAAAAACAGCTCGAAAATTTAGTTTGATCGATATTTTAGTTAATAGTAAAACTATATAAATTAGTTATTTTAATTGTATTTTAATTTTAAATTCACAAGTAAATAAGAATACATCATTTCAGAATTCACATTAATTCTGAATTTAAATGCGTGTTTTCCGTGCTTTTGTGCTACAGTCAAACCTCGTTATAGTGAAGGTGTTCGGGCTATTAATGAAAAATTTTCAAAAATTCACTATATCGAGAGGATTTAATATATACTATTTTTGAGCTCAACTTTACTATATCGAGAGTTTAATTAGTCCTTCACTATATCGAGAGTTGACTGTATTCTTGCGATTTTCATGGATTTTATGTGCTTGCTTTTTTTTATAGGGTTTGTTAAATTAACGTAATAAAACAAGTGTTTTTAACAATTATAACAAGTTCCATAAATAAAAATGTGGTTTTTGCCATTTCAAAAACAGCAATAATTAGTCAACAAGCAAGAAATTTGTGGTTATTATATACCGACTAGGGCTGTTAACGGCCTGGTTTGTCTTATGATTTAATAGGACCGATTCACAACGCTAATGCCGACCATCATCTTAAACCGACCAAATCTCTCATAATTTTTTATACAAAATTATTATTAATCATTCTAAGCTAATAATCATCTAAACTAAGCAAAACTTTACAAACTGAATAGTATTATGGTTGTTAATGGAGCAGCATACTCCGGGGTTACTATAGAATTTCTAAATTTCGCACCGCTCCGGAGCCATAATTATATAAACTCAAACCACTTCATGTGACACTCTTGCTCCACATGGAGTGACCCGGAGCTAGAACGATGATCTATTCTAAAAATAGCCAATGAAATAGACGCGAAATCACTGATTCTCCCTCCAAGGTAATGAAAACAGATTCGAAAATATAGTATTTATGTTAGTGGGTTAATAAATTCATGATTATTGTTTCCTAATTTTATTTTGGAAATACGAGTATGAAGCTTGTTTTATTAGAATCATAAATTGTAAATTTTTTGTCTTTTTTATTTTTGAAATACGAGTATGAAACTTGTTTATTAATAAAAGTATTTTACATATAGCTTTTATCCAATCAAATTAATTGCATGTGACTTTATAAATACATGTACTCGAAACGGAGCGGGTTCAATTTGATTGACCCCTTGCTCCACTATAATATAACCCAATTCACTCCGCTCCGCTCTTCTCCATTAACAATCCTAAGTAGGATATAGAAAAATGCTGTTCAAAATGAGCAATTGCTTCAAACCGAACTAGTCAAGTCAATTGCTTAGATTCATTGATTATAGTTTAATTAGTATTGTATAAGGTAAAAAATGATGGTGAAAAAAAGAAAATCTCATTAAACTAATATTTAAATTTGCTTGTTACGATTTTTCAAATAAAGTTATTTATTAGAGAAAAGTAACCTGATTCATCTGTAATTAATGATTTTAAAATTGTAAACCTGCTTCCGACCTAACATCCCTAAATTTCACTAATGAAACGTGGAGAAACTAATCTAATATTGTTCAACAAATGATATAATGCAAATTAATAAAATGCTATTATAATGAGAGATTGTTTCAGAAAATTGATATCGGATATACGTACGTATTGCTTAAAATGCTTATCAAAGAAAGATATTGATCACCAAAATAGATTGATCGTCTTCGTCATAGAAATCTTTTACTGTTACTGCATTTATTATTATGAATGTTTATTAGGATACCGTATAACGATAAGTACCCGTGTTTCTTAAATTACATTCTTTTAAACTATTACTTAAAGAAGACTAATAATCAATGCATAGAAATACGTTTATTCTTGTGCTTTTATGATTAAGGCATTTGTACCAGTATACAAATTACATGTAGCAAGATATTGCTGAAAAATTAATTCTGAACTAGATAATATATTAACATATAGCTCAGTGGAATTTATGAATTTACTAAAAAAAATAATTATAAAGAAGTCTCAAGGTTTTTGTGCCAGAGCATGTATTTATCTAATTTTATATGCTGCTAAGTCAGATAAAATTGAATAATCAAATTATTGCAATTTGCGGTTCTTTATCTTTTTATTAAATATAGCTCACCAAAATAACTATATGTTTTTATTTCATAATTTGTGGTCAAATAATGCTAAAGGGTTGACGTCAACAAATGGTAATCTAGTGTTTTTATATTATATCAAAAAAATAGAAAATGTATATCGAATATAACATGCATGCAATAAGAAAAAATTTCTTGAACTGTGGAATTAATAGTTTATAACACATATATAAACAGGATTCCCAATTATAAAATTGGAAAGTACTATTACTTTTTTCGAAATTCTATCACTCTTGCATCGCAGAAAGCTTTCAAGGAATGATTTTTTACTCTACAATGAAACTCTAGATGGCCGATATGATATTTGGGTTTGAGACGAAATTCTTTTTTACGATTGCGGGGAATATAAGAATGGCGTACATTATTATGTATTTTAATAATAATGCATTTCTATTTTTTTCTTTATAGTAATAATAAACTGAGAATGCAGTTATTATTTTTTTTATAACAATGCATTCCTTCTATTCATTAACGTGTTTTCCAGAAAATAAACACAGAATTTAAGTTTATTCTCTGACTGATTATCTGTCTAATATTACACGTCGGCTTACCTTATTCATATGCAAAATAAATAACCTTATCGTTATTGTTATAACATAATAGGTAGTTCATATGTTTTCTATCTCTCTTGATCTTAATTGTTTTTTCATTTGTAATTGTTTATAGAGATTTTTTGGTTTGAAAAGTAACAAAGGTTATATATATATATATATACGTATGTGTGCTTGTCAATTTTTTGAATTTTTAAAAGAATGATAAAAATTCATATTTACTCTTTACAATCAAATTATACATTTATACTGTATACACACACGTAAAGAATTCTAATGATTAGTTTTGCGTCGACATTAATACGATTGTTTTCTCGTTCACTACGAAAACTTTACACTTCAAAATATTCTTTTCCTACATTAACTTTATTTATGTTACTGATAATAACGACAATAATGACAATATTTCCCACACAAACAAATGCGAGCTACGTAATCGGAGCACCATATATTGAACAAGAAAACGACTTAGTGATATGGGACGCGAAAATATACCCAACAACCAATGACGATCTTGTGCATCTTGTAAAACTTAACAACGCTTCTTCTAATACATGTACATGTACCACCACAACGAATGCCAAAAATACATGTGTTGACTCGAAAATGCGTTTCCGCCTCATTTCCGCACAAGATTCTTCGGTAAATTCAATCGAATTCACATACTCTATGGTGTCTTTTTCCACACCATTTAATGATTCGTCTTCATTGCCGCCGAGAGCTGTGTACCATGAGAATGATTGGTCTGCTAACATTATTGCGTGAGTTTATTTTTTTACTATGGTTACTAAAATGTGTTTCGATTCGGAAATGTCACATTAAATGCTACATGTATTAACAATATTAGGAGTGAATTCGGTGTAGCGAACATTACTCCAGACAGTGGCTTTATGTGGTCTAATTTCTACGAGGGTTTATTTATACTATTTATGTTTAGCTGGGCATATTTTATTTTACTGTAAGTATATCAAATTGACTCGGTTTCAGGCTTTTGAATATCACAATTAATGATTGTTGTCTTTATTTACATAGTGCCAGAAAAATTTATTTTGGAACTGGCAACTTTCCAGTGACTTGGACTGCTGATGAATGGTAAGATTTTCTTATCTGTTAAACGTATCATAAGGATGATGTGATATTGACGTAAATAGTACACACGTTATAGTCATAGATTTTTAGTAGGGGCAGATTTTCAATCACCCAAATCAAACGTATCGGTATTAACAATCGCCAGCGTCTACGACGATGCAACTAGCGCTAAGATGCTTCCAGTCAACCGCAAAAACGATAGATTCGCACGCGTTCTAAAAATAATAAGCATAAACAGCATGCCATACAAATTTGTATCGTTCCTACAAAAAAACCAACAAAATAGCAACAACCTATCACTAATCATTAACACGAACAAGGAGAAACCGCTTTCAACGGGTGACATTTTTGTCACGGCGACTTATACGAATAATTCGGTAACCGGACAGATTTATAGTGAGGACGGGGCGTTTAATCGTATTTGGAATTATGATCAAGTGAAATATTATGCGTTAATTTATGGCATTTTTCCGGATAATTCTACGTATTTGTTTGTTTCTGCTGGAAATGATACGACTCCACCCACTTTTGCTGTGGTTAAAAATTGGAATTTGATTAGTATTAATCTCGATGGTATATCAAGAGGAAGTAAGTATTATCTTAATTGCAATTGTCTTAACAAGCAAAATGAATTGATTTCATTCATTTAATAAAGGTGCTGAAGGATTCGTCAATCGAAACGTCCAAAAAGCAAACCCTGAGAAAAACTCACTAACCCCACGAGAACTCGAAGAAATATTAATAATCAAACATCTAGTCACCTTATCAACCAACAACCTATCAATCTATCAAGTATTCGACAGTAATAGTTCATCATACAATCTTTTACAACAAAATTATCTCGCCAATGCTTACACAAACAATAACTTCATCACAATCACGATGCCGGTAATGGATATCAAGATCGTGAATAATTTTATTTCTTTTAATTCTTCGTTGATGGGTGTTACTGATTGGGTTGTTAATACAGGTATTTGTTTATTTATATTTTATTATTGTGCGAAAATACAAATGTTTTCGCTTGTTATCGTTATTGTATAAAGATAATGATAATCCATCTAACCATCAATGGTGCCAACCAATTCTTCATCTCCCTTACCAAAAACCTCGAATCAATTATCCCATTACTCGATGGCTATCTCTACGCGCCCAACAGATTCAAACACCAAACATAAAAAACTATTGATAGCTGTCACGCTGCTAAAAAAGAAAAGGATTGTAATCGTTCCGCAAAACGAAAATACTTTAACGTTATATAAGTCTTTTTGGTTCCAAGTTAAACGTAATTATTGAACTACATATGTATTGTTCATATTATCAATTACTCATTTGCTTTTTCTTAATTGGATTGGTAGCAAAATTCTTTGATGATATAAGCTTTGTCGAGGGTGGACCGTTTTTGGTTTCTTTACTTTCAATATCAACACATTGTAGAAGTCCAAACGTAAGCTTTTTATTGTTTACACATTCAATTCATTCATATTATTATACACATTCAATTCATTCATATTATTATATTATAAAAATTAACACTTTCTGGTAATCATTTTTTTAGGGAAACTCATACAGTATCTTTTCAGCTTCATTTCAGCGGAATTCTGTTTTAGCTTCACCTCCACAAAGTTCAAGTTTAACTTCATCCCCACGAAGTTCGGTTTTAGCTTTTTTACTTCCACAAAGTCTAACTTCACTTTTTTCACGAAATCCAATGTTAGCTTCATCTTTACAAAATTCAATTTCTCTTCTTCCTTCACAAAGTCAAACTTCTTCACTTCCAACTTCAGCTTCATCTCCGCGGAATTCTACTTTAGCTTCGCCTCCTCAAAATCTAATTTCAGCTTCATCGCCACGAAGTTCTGAATTAGTCGTTTCTTCACAAATTCTAACTTCGGCTTCATCTCCGCGAAGTTCTGCATTAGCTTCACCCACACCAAGCCCAACTTATCTTTTTTTACGAAATCCAACTGTAATTTCACCTCCACAAAGTCAAACTTCAGCTTTATCTCTGCAGAATTTTGCTTTAGCTTTGCCTTCACAAATTTCAATTTCAGCCTCATCTCCACAAAGTTCTGATTTAGTTGCTGCTTCACAAAATCAAACTCCAAGTCCTGCTTTAGTTTCTTCACCTCCTCAAAGTCAAATTCCAGTTTCATCTCCGCAAAATTCTGCTTTAACTTCGCCTCCACAAATTCTAATTTCTGCTTCATCCCCACGAAGTTTTGATTTAGCTGCTGCTTATTCACAAAGTCAAACTTCAGTTTCGTATCCGAAAAGTTCTGTTTTAGTTTCTTCACCTCAACAAAGTCAAACTTCAGCTTCACCACCGCGGAATACTTTAGCTTCACTTCCACAAAATCTATATTCAGTCTCATCTCCACGAAGTTCTGATTTAGTAGTTGTTTCACAAAATCTTCCTTCACGAAGTCTAAGTTCTGCTTTAGTTTCTTTACCTCCAAAAAGTCAAACTTCATCTCCGCAGAATTCTGCTTTAGCTTCACCTCCACAAAATCCGATTTCAGCTTCATCTCCGCAAAGTTCTGCTTTAGTTTCATCTTCATCTTCACAAAGGACGATTTCAGCTTTATCTCCATCACCAAGGAAAGAATGTATCATATGTGCGGAAAGTTTTGACATGACACAATTAATTCAAATTTCGATTGATTGTCAGCATGAGAACAATATCTGTCAAGAATGTGTTGCGAGACATATTGAACATGAATTGCAAGATAAAGGAAACACTGAAATTAGATGTCCAGATGAAAATTGCAGAAATGTGATGACTGAAGATTCTGTCAAAAAATTATCCAGTGAAACGATCTTTGAAAGGTGAACTTTTTTATATTTTTCAACGATAACTTGAAAGATAAATATTAATTTACACGATTATATAATTTGAAAAGATATCAGCAATTATCACTTGTGTCGACACTTTCACAAATAGAAGATTTCTACTGGTGCTTAAATCCAAATTGTAATTCGGGTCAAATTCATTATGAAGGAGGTATGTAATCAACAATTTAATTTTTTGGATAAGAGCTTAAATTAATTATCATTTATTAATTCACCTAAAGACGCTGCACCAATAATGACGTGTCGATTCTGCTCGAAAAAAACATGTGTCATGCATACGCTACCAATTTCAGATGGCTCGCTAAACTGTCCACAATGCACCACCAATATAACCGAAACATTTGATAATGAGCAAGTCATTGCGCAAGAAGCTACAGCTCCACAGCGCACCAACCTTCTGTCTTCGAATAATAGTCACTTATCTGTCCCTTTGAACGAATCTCACGCCCGTGGAAAAAAACCCATCAAGAAAAAATCATTATTAAGTCTCTTCAAAAAGTCTCATGGAACTTCTGCGGGAAATAATTTAGATAAACCAAAGTCAACAGTACGACAAACATTAGACAATAGACAAATGGATAAAAAATCAAAAGCTTATATTAATTCTGTGACAAAAAAGTGTCCGAAATGTAAGGCTAATATTGAGAAGAATGATGGATGTGATCATATGACGTGTCGCTGTGGATATGAATTTTGCTGGCTGTAGGTATTTTTATTTACTTTTGAGATTTTATATCAGGTTTATTTCTTAATGTTACTTTTCCATTTATTATAGTTGTCTCGCTGATTATAATGCCATTCGTAAGAATGGAAATAGATATCACAAGTCAAATTGCAAACATTATGCTTGAAGTGATCACAAAGAAATGCCAATTCAAAACCTATGTGGAGGCATAAATTCTGCTATATAGTATATTACGATTATTGAAATATACACTAGACACAATGTATTATAATATTTACTATTAAATTGATTGCTTTTAAATTTTCAATTATGATCGTGATGAAATATTGTATATATGCATATCGATGTGTCGAATCAAATTTTATTTTTCACCCAGGGCTGCTTTCGTTATGCATGCAAATTATACGTTTTTATCGCTCCCCACCTGAAAAAACAACAGTGACTTTCATGCACGAGATTATTCTGCAGAACATGGCGTACCGTAAAGCGCTCTTTATAATATCCCCCCTTGTAAAAATTTGAACCACAATTTGGTTCAATTTTTTTTTAGTAAATTCAATTATTTTTTATGTAAATAATTAAATTAGATTTCACTATGCGATTTTTTAAGAAATTTAGTTATTGGTTTAACAGTCTTGAGGTTAAATTGAGGTTTAAATTTTATACAAAGGGGGATACTATACAGAGCGCTTTACGGTACTCCATTCTGTTCCCACTCTATCAAATAGGATCATATTTCATTTAACCACTAGCATATGGATGACGCGAATGACGACAAGGCTATATATGGACGACGAAGGCCAAAGAGGTTATCGTAAATCAATTTCTTAAGATGTGGGTAAACGTGAATATATTCCCTTAGAAAAAATCGACAAAGTTTTGGTTATTTTTGCTGACACTTTGCAAATACATGTATTTGAAGAACAAACATCTTTGAGAATTGAAAACTGAGAAATCTGTAGCCCATTATTATTGATGAACCCACCAATTTTCGAGCTCTCAGTATTGTAAACACTTTGTTCGAATCAATTGTCACATGACTACATTTATACATGTAGTAGGAATAGGATCGATTAATTATTTCGATTACTTTGATTTCGATTACGTAATCGTTTAATAATCGATTTAAATTTGAGGAATCGATTCTCGAGCACAAATTACGACTACGACTACGGCGATGACACAACTGGTCTTAGGTTTTGTTTTTCATTGCATGTTGATTTTTTCCCTTTTCGTTTGAATAATTGAAGTGGTACTTTGATTAGTGGAATGCGTAGGTACTACCGCTACCGCTGCTGTTATCGAAGTAACATTAAATCCTCTAATTCCGTGATTTTGATCCCTAATTTCCACATGAAAATCCTTCCAAAAATTAGTTTCTTGTGAAAGTTCTATTGTACGTATTCTATGTAGATCAAAATCTATTTGAGATACAATAATAATAAATTTTTTTTATTATTGTTATATGTAAATTTTATTATTACTCTCTTTTACGTTATGCAATAAACTCTAGAACGATACTTTACGATGTAAACACAAAGATGTATATATAGTCCTCGTGGATGTTAATAAAAATTGTAAATAAATTGCGTACAATTCTTCAATAAAATTAGACTTGTGAAATTGTTGTAATTGATTGTGGTTAGGTCCTTTGATCTAGAAAAGGCATTGTTATTGTTAAAACGTCAATTGATTGATTGAAAAGCTTTGTGTTGAATAGTTTAAGGCTTTTAGTAGAAAAAGCAACGATAAACCCGTCACGTAAAACATATAAAACCCAAAACCACCTTACCTAAAAACTGAATCATCCAAACTCCCATCCAAACTCCCATCCAAATTCCCTATCTACCGTCATACTGAACGATATCCGTAGATATCAGCACAGGAATTAAAAACCACTCAGTTTACTCACTCTCTCCCAACCTATTGTTGCAGGCAAAATCGTCGATTACGCCTAATTATGATCTACCCGTAACACTACCACTACTATAGATTTCGATAACGATAGATTATGTGCGATAACTTTGACCAAGAAAAAAATATCGATCAGTCTATATATAGTTTTTATTAGAAAGACTATGAGTCGAAGACTCTGGCTCAGCCCATTCCGATATACTCGCATACAAAAAAATCGCATTAATTTATGGTAGTAGACATCAGATTAGTCCGTGCAAAGCATTAGCGTGGAGCGAAATCTGCATGTGTAAATATATGGGTGACGTTCAACATCCCGACAACCACAATCCTGACAATACATAAGCCCATCAAACGAAATCCTAAATGAACAGTACCGAATGAACAGTATACCGAAAGCACAAAATCCCGAATGCACGGCATCCCGAATGCACGAAATCCCGAATGCATGGCATCTCTAATGGACGAAATACCAGATATATCAATGAATCAATGAAGTGAAATATTAAGATTTTAAATATCGAGGTTTCATGCATTCAGGATTTCGTGCATTCGGTATGCTGTTCATTCGGGATTTCGGTATGTTGTGCTTTCGGTATACCGTGCATTCGGATGCTGTTCATTCAGTATACCGTGCATTCGATATGTTATTCATTCAGGATTTCGTGCTTTCGGTATGCTGTTCATTCAGGATTCGTTTGTCGGATTTATGGCTTGCCGGGATTATGGTTCGATTAACCAGTAATTGAGCAGGAAAAATAAAATTATCTTGCAGTGCAAGGAATCTCTGATTCTTCACGCCAACCCAAATTTGTTTTACCATTATATGGTGGATCGTGACGCCGAGTTAAAGGAAAGCAACCATGATGATGAGTAATACATATCACCCTAGCTATCAACCACGAGCCCAAGTAAGTACATTTACACAAAAATAACCAAATGCTAACAAGAGTGCAATTTATTTTTTCAGATATCCGGATCACATAACATAAAATCTTGCAAGATGAGCAAAATTTTGATTTTGTTCAATTTTTGGCACACTTCAATCGGGTCGGGATTAAAACCGAAATATTTCGAATCAGTCTAAAATCATTATTTTCGTTCAAATTAAAAGAAAATTTGTGAATATATTTACAATAACATTCCGAATAACTCTATTTACACAAAATACAAGTATCTTAGTAAAAATAAAATTATTAACAAAAATCTATTTTACAATTTTCGAATTAAACTGGCCCGAAAATTACGTAAAACATAATTTCAATGAAGAATAAAAAAATGAAGGAAATGAAATAAAAAAATGAAGAAAAAAATGAAATGAATGAAAAAATGAACAAAAAATGAATGAAATGAAAAAAAATGAATGAAAAAAAATGAAAATAATGAATGAAAATGAATGAAAAAAATGAAAAAAAGAGAAGATTCATTTTTCATCCTCATCCTTGTTCACGTCCACATCCACATCATATTAACGCATCAACATCAACATCTTCATTCACATCTTCATCAACATCTTCATCCACATCCATATCAACATCCACATCAACGCATCAACATCAACATCAACATTTTCATCCACATCAACGCATCAACATCCACATCCACATCCACATCTTTATCAACATCAACATCTTCATCCACATCCATATCATCATCCACATCCACATCAACGCATCAACATCCACATCAACGCATCAACATCCACATCCACATCCACATCCACATCAACGCATCAACATCTTCATCCACATCCATATCATCATCCACATCCACATCAACGCATCAACATCAACATCTTCATCCACATCCATATCATCATCCACATCCACATCAACGCATCAACATCCACATCCACATCCACATCAACATCAACGCATCAAAATCTTCATCCACATCCATATCATCATCCACATCCACATCAACGCATCAACATCCACATCCACATCCACATTCACATCCACATCCACATCAACATCAACGCATCAACATCTTCATCCACATCCATATCATCATCCACATCCACATCAACACATCAACATCTTCATCCACATCCATATCGTCATCCACATCCACATCCACATCCACATCCACATCCACATCCACGTATCATCATCTTCATCAACGTCAACATCTTCATCAACGTCAACATTTTCATCAACATCAACATCTTCATCAACATCTTCATCAACATCTTCATCAACGCATCATCATCAACATCAACGTCAACATCAACGTCAACATCATCATCATCATCATCAACGCCAATGATATCATTGTGATAAAAAAACGATCCTTTAGAAAGCTATTCTCCTTAAATAAATTTTCCCCATTTTACCCCCACTTTGCAAAATTGTGGGTTTTCAGATCGAAAAACTATTGGTTGATTATTTGATGACATATTTTATATATATGTAATAATAAACGTCATCATGTACTTCTGAACAGCCGGTTAATGTTAATTAACATCAAAGACATAATTAATATTTAATAAACGATTTGAAACAGTCTAGCTTAAATACTGAACCAGTAGTAAACTTTAGACAAGATAAGGTCGCTTGCTCAAACCTATATTAAATATTATGTACAGGTTTTACAATGCAAGGCTATATTAAAATTTTAAGTAAATTAACTTCATATAGTAGTTTTAGCTAGGTATATATAGAATTTTATCATATTTTCGGAGACGTTAAAACTATCATATTATGATGACTCTAACAAACTTATCAAATATGGAGATTTGATGATTTGGCAAGCAACTTAGTTACAAGCCTATCGAACTGAAAAATAAAAAATAGTTCAATATTTATTTTTTGATTTACTGTTATATTACTAATATCTCTATTGATACGAGATTTTTACTTTAATATTATTTTGATGTTGATGATTGCTATTAGTACCAGAATTCATTCCTTATTTCCTGCCTTTGTTTGCTTAACCTCAAGCAAGCAATGAAGGATTCACTAAAAACAAAAACATTAGCAACAATAACATACAATGATCACTATCCAGAAGCGATCGATCCGCCAAGTCACGCACAACACCACCCGTCAAGTACTTTAATGAATTTGTGCTTCATTGATTTTATTTTGTTTTAATTTGTTTGGTGTTGATGTTGTCGCCATCATCATTATTGCTTCGTTTATTAATTAAAGCAAATTATCAATCAATACTTTTTCTTAAAAAAAAATAAATAAATATTAATCATACCGATCTTCGTCCACATCTAGATTTTGTGTTACTTTTTTTAACCAATCATTATACTTATTTTGGGTATAAAAATAAATAACATACCTTTTGCAACTTATGTTCCTCCTGATCAATTTTGCGCGCTAAAGTTATTCTCTGCTTCATGGCTTTCACGCTACTCTGATCGACCGGAAAATCGGACAGACCTTCGTCTGAGGCAACAAAAATAAAATTTTTAGTAATAGGTCAGTGTTAGAACAATTGAAATGTGACGCAGTTTTATTGTCTAATTGTCACAAGAATACCGATACGACGCGAAAAAATTAATTTTACCTTTTGACAAATTTTACGATATAATACAATTTCTTTAGGACTACACAACATCAAGCTTATTCTTTCTCGTTGAACTCTTGCCGTTCGACCACTTCGATGTACATATCTATATATTTTATGAAAAACTTTACTTATAAAATAGATACTCAATAAAAGTGTTCCACGGATACCTACGTCACCAGAATATGTTCCACCAATGACAGCTTTCAGGTTTTGTTTGAATCTATTGTTTTTATTGTTATTATTGTTTAATATAAAAAGTCAATTAAAGAGATTTACCTTTCAGTCCAGTGTTTCGATTCCCAATAATCTAGTAATGGGGATTATTGACGAATATGTGTTATAAAATAGTAGATGTAAATATCCTGATTTGATATAAATGAAGATAAGATGCAAATGAATTTATTAGTCACGATAAGTATATTTAAACATTATTTGTTAAACTAAAATAATAACCTTTTCTGTGATGAAGCAATCAATCTTTGATTCATGTCATATACTAGATACCGATGTGATATCACTAGAGATTGGTAAACTCGAGCCGTTCCATTAATCCTCTAGAAGAAACAAAATGATATTATGTATAAATGTAATTTACTTATGACTCATAAAAAGACATTACACTCACTCATCGTGGGCACGCGTTTTATTAACCTCGAATTTCTTTAAAGTGTTTTTGAAATACTTCTTTTTCTTCAAGTTCTCTTTTAGATTCTTGTCGTGTGTGGTAGAATATACGTAAATGTTTGTTTTTTTGAAGGATCTATTATTTATTATTTATTATTTATTATTTATTATTTATTATTTATTATTTATTATTTATTATTTATTTATTGGATGGTTGTTTAAAATGCTTATTAATAGTCCAAACAGATACTTTTTCTTATTTATTTTTTTGTTGATTTCAGTGGATCCTTTACTTTCGTTATCTGAATAATCATTGGTATTTCTAAGAGTGAGAAGTATTTAGATAACTTAATTCACATTCTATGAAAAAAAATACACGCAATGAAATTCTAGTAATTTGTCAAAATATAACTTACTGTTCACTTTTTGATAAACAGCTAATTATTCAATCCTTGGAAATAGCCAGACTCACTCGAGCATACTCAAGTACAAAGAATTTTATGCATCGACCAGGAGTAGCAACAATTATATTCGAATGTCTATCCATTAGTCGAACTGCCATATCGCTGACAAGTGTTATGATCTATTTATTGAAAAATTTAGACATATTCTTCATGTATTCAAAACTAGGTAATTAATATTAATTCACTAACCTTGACGTCATCAAACTTTCCAATGCTCAATATAAGATATCGCCAATTTTCTAGTCGGAGTAACAATTAACGCCACAAGCTCGTTTGTGCGTGTATCATCTTTTATCCGATAGGTTTCCTCATTCACTAAATACTGTAGAATAGGCAGTCCAAATACAAGTGATCCAGTTTCCGCCGCCTAATTATCACGTCCAGATAATCCATGGGCAGAGTTTTCTTTTGAATAGGCGAATTGAAGTGATTTTAAAGCGAGTATAATGTTTGAGCAGAGTCCAAAATCAATCCATGCTGATGCGTTAAAATATATTCATTATGATGGTTAATACATGAACAAATAGAAATGTAGGAAGCAATGCCGAGATTAACATCTTTTACAAGAGCATTCTTTTTATTTTGTTTGACGACAGTATCTATTTTTCCTCTTGGACGTATTCTTGCCTCAACATGACTTAAACTATTCTGACCCTTTTCGCTCCCACATCATTTATTCCATCAAAGTATCATCGATCTCCATGATTCATCGTCATATATCATTATGTCATCATCATTATTAAAAAATGAAATTCTCTCATCATGTATCCAAATCATAACTTGAGGTTGATTTAGTCGTTTTACGCTGCTTGTACTTTTTGCGAGTACCTTCTGTGCTTTGTTCAGTTATCTGTGAGCTTTCTGTTTGTGAAATCTCTTCATCATGTTTACTGTCCAACATCATTAACATTTTAAAATGTAAATTTTTACAAAACCCCATGCTTGAATCACTATTTATTTAGTCTCACGTATCGTACAAACTCACGTCATTAAATTTAATATGACAAGGATTACAAATACACGTCATTAGATCTAATATGACAAAAGGATACTTGTGCTTTTTGCTTCGACCGAATTTCTTCGGTTCGGGTTACCCAATTATAGTTTAACCGGTTCAAATCACTAATTTACGAGTGTTTCAATGTCAATGGCAACACTTAAACCTCGTTATAATGAAGACATCCGGGGGGGGTTAAGAGAAAAATCTTCACTATAGCTTACATCCAGAGAATATTATCTAGCTTCACTATATCGAGTTGAAGTTTATTAATGATCCTAAAAACATTCTTCATATATCGAGAGTGAGTTTATATATTTTGTTACAAGATTAGTGAATTGTCCTCTATTGAAATTGTTTTAACGACGTTGACTGAAGTCGATAAGTTGGGCACCAATTATTGTATCAGTATTTACCTCGCTTTATGCTAGTAAATTATTTTGCTATTCTAACAACTTATCATACTCTCGAGATACATGTATTAAAGCATATGGAGGGTTCCGCTCACCGATAATGTGCAAGCTGTTTGATTTAGTATGAACATAAGAATCGATTGCTCGTCTATAGAACGCTTGGGACTTTAAGTTCCATCAAACTCAGCTGGGAATTACTTTATATATTAGCGGTTGTATGATATTTCTTTTGCATTATCCGACTAAATGTAAGAATTACTGGCAACGGGCATTCAATTCCAAAAATGATCGCGAACTCCGGATATCAACTGTTTACGGTGGAATTCTACTGTTTATTATTATTTCTTGAAAAATATGTTTTGCAAAATTTTCATTTGGTCAATAGTGTATTCATCATTTTCATTATTCACTATTATTGTTATTGAATATTTGCATGTTCAAAGTTAATATCTAATAGATTTTCTTAGTTAATAATCACTTTTAATTATTTTCTTGTCAGTATAGTATTACTATTTCTTTACTTTCTTCTATAGAATATTAATATAGATGTGTATATTACAGATAATATTTGATAAAAATAAGTAATTAACTAAGATTATAACTTATAATTCTTATGTATTCACTTTGTTTCAAGAAATTGGATACAATTTCACTATGATAAAGATAATAGATTAAATTTCAGAAATCTTAACAATAGTCTTTTTCTGAATTACTTTCTTATTGATATAATATAATTATTTTATTGCATGTTAAAAGTCTTCTAAAACTCATACCTCATTATAAATAATTTATAATAACTTATCAGTTTGTGAATTTAAAGTCTTGATCTTCTTGCATGAATTTCTCTAGTTCTTTATAAATCAACTGAAAGAAGTTCCCTGATTTTTGTCAATTATAAATATATATCTTGTACTATTTTATCTTTCAGTTTAAGTTTATATTCTTTCTTTGTAATTCATTATTTTTAAGATTGATTTTGTGAATTCTTTGTTTATCAGTTTCTTTTATTATTATATATCTTAAATTATCAGATTAAACTATATATTTTTTGGTTTGTATAGCTTGTACTTAGTGATTTCTTTTTTATCATTACTGACTTTATTGTTGTTTTAATTCTTTTTATTAAATCTTTATCAATAGATATCAAATTGTTAGCTGAATAAGATTTTTAGCAGAATTATGATAAATTAATATCATATAAACTATTTATATATTATTCTCATAATAATATAATAATCTTTATAAGAATAATATATTATAAAGAAATAATCAATATCAATATTATTATATATAAAATTAAAAATAAAATTTAATTGTGCAAATTCAAAATCATATAAATAACTACTAATTAATTCAATATTTTTTTAATATATATTATCTATTTTCCAATATTATATATTATATTGTTATCATTTTTAGAGTCATTAACTATAATGATAATTTTGAAATATAATAAGTAATTATACTCACATAAAAAATTCGATTACTGAACTATAAAAACTTATAATTTATATAGTCAAATCTCTTTATAGTCATTACCCTCAGGAAAGCAAAATTTGGTGACTATAGAGGAAATGTGACTATAAAGAGATTTTTTTTACTATGTTTATATGTAAATGGGAAAGCAAAATAGGATAATTATAGAGGGTATAACTATAAATAGATGTGACTATAGAGAGAGTCAACTATATATTAAACAATAATATAATTTTTATATACTCTTGTAATTTCTTGTATCATATTCATTATTTTTTGTATTATATTTATTATTTTTGTATAACATATTAGAAATTAATACAGATATATATTTAATACTTTTTAATATTTCACCAAATAGATTAAATATAAAATATAAATTATATTATTAATTTAAACACATTTTGTTTTTAATTTCTATTATTTTTATTTATTCTTTTTTTTGTATTTATTATTTTTAAATTCATATTAATTACTTTTTATTATTATTTATATTTTATATATATTTAATTAAGTACAATATAACTTGGAGATATATTATTTTTAAGATTAATCAATCATCTTTTATTTATTATTAATTTATTTGTAATTCATCAAATAATAATTATATATTTAAATATCTTTGTTCTGTATTATAATTTTTTAGATCTTTTTACTATTTAATAAATAAAAAATAAGCTTTATTAAAATTAAAACTGAAAATTATCTCAATTAATATAATTTATTTATAATAATTAATAAATTTATCTTAATACTTTTTATATAAAAAAGTATTCTTACAAATAAAATAACAAGATTAGATATAACTTTAATAAGAATAATAATTATCAAAACTTTCCTAAAGTATTAATAATAATAATATATATGAATATAAATATGATAGCTATTAAAACTTTTTCAAAATATCAATTAATAATAGCTATATAAAAATACAAATATGAATATAAAAATAAATTAAATATAAATGCTATCTCTTTTAAATTAGCAATATAAAAATAAAAATAATATAATATCTTTCTGATATTTTTCAAATTTCAAAAATAATAATAATACAAATAATAAATAAATAAATAAATAATACAAATAATAAATAAATAATACAAATAATAAATATAATATAAATAATAGTTTTTTGTTAAGATGATATAATTAAAAGATCAAAGTAATATAAGTCACAACCAAATTTTATTAAGAATATATAAATTAATACTTAATTATTTTATAACTTGATAATAATTCTAAGTTAAAATATATGTTGCTTATATATTTATTTTTATTATTATATAATAAAACTAATTAAATATGAAATAAATTAATATAATACAAGATAATATCAATATAATACAAAAAAAATTAAATATATGAGAAAAAATAATTAAAATATAGAAATAGAATACATGCTAAATCTTAATAAAATAATTTATATTAAGTATATATTATAATATAAATCTAATTTATAATAAAAAATCAATTAAAATATCTTAAATAAAACCAATTAGATTTATAATAATTATTATTCTTTGTTAAATACTATTATCATGTGAAAGAAATATTATTATTATAGATAAATATTGAGCCTTTAACTAATCTTTTGCTCTAATATATTAACAAATAACTAAATAAAATATAACAAGTTACAATAATAATAATATATAATATTGTAAATCTCAATTATGAAAAACTCTACTCTTAATTAAAATAAATTTGTTCAAGTAATAAAAAATATAATTACAAAATTGATAAAAAATTAGATATTTTCATTTAATTCAGTTAAGCAATTTGTTTTAAACTAATTAATAATTTTAGTCCTCATTAATCAAATTCTGAGCATTCAAAATTTATTTCTAAATTATTATATTTCAAATTATTAAGTTTATAAAATAATATTAATTATTTATATTTAAGTTTATTTATAATAAAAAATCTGAAAATAAAATTATCTTTTTTTTAAATAAAAATTTTTTATAATATTAATTAAAAGTATATTACTTAAAGATTTATATTTCAATTTATTATAAATAATAAGAATTTCTTTCAAAAAATTTGAAATTTCTTTAATATTAATTAAAAAATAATAACTATTATTCTATTTCTTATTATTATATTAGTAATATTATTAAATTTATTTTTTAAATCTGATTTTAATTAAGTATATAAGAAGTTATTATTTAAAAATAAAATTATTTTTAATAAGAATTTCTCTATTTTATAATTATTTATATTCTAATAATATGATTTATCTTAATAAGAATAATAAATAATTCTTTGATATATAATGTTAATAATTTAATATATATTAATAATAATATTAGTGATTTAGTATATATTGATAATAATTTTTTTTGGCAATTTCTAATAATATTGATAATGATAGTAATTCTCTAATATATATTATTACTAATAGTGATAATAATTTTTTAACACATATTGTTATTGATAATAATTTTGATAATTTTTCAATATATATTATTATTAAAATTTGTAATTTCTAGTTATAATTATTATATTATTATAAGAAAAAAAACTTTCAAATTTCTTTTTATAGATAATTTAATTTTAAAAATTTATATTTAAATTAATTCATGATCAAATTTTTTATTTATTTTCTTATAGTAAATTTTTATTTAGTTTATTATAGTCAAATTTGTTAAATTTTTTATATTAAAAGCTAGTTCTAAAAGTTATTTGCTTAATTATGAAAAAATTTATTTATATTATAATATATAAATAATATCATTAGATATAAAATCTTATTTGTGATTCCAGTAAAATTATTAATAGTATAATTTATTAAAAACTATTATTATTTTTCTTATACTTTGTAAAAAATTTATAATACTAAATTTTTTTTAAATTAAGCATAATAAAAAAATAGTTCAAATTATAAAATTGATAATTTTACAATATTATATATATTTGTTTTTTTTTACAATTCTAATAATAAAATTGTTATATAAATTTTATTATAATACTAATATTTTTTATAGAAACAATATATATAAATAATATGCTAGATTTTTAACA